GGAAGAAGCTGTCTAAATGAAACTTCTTAATATAGAAATACTAAGGGAAAATTAATCGTTAGCCCTAGACTTGAAGATGTAAAGATTGTAGGGATTGGGAATACATCCTGACAGGTCTATGTTCCATAGAGAAACATGTCTTCAATATGTTCAATGTAAAGTTCCAATTTGAAGGAATACTCATCCATTACGATAGGTGAAATTTCACTGTCTGCTCGGTTCAGTTGAATTGTCCGGTTTCTACGTATTCAATTTAACAAACCAGTTCTTTCCCCATCCAGCTACCAGAAATAGGTCATTGAAGAGAACAGTTACCAGGTTCTGATCCTCTCGATTTTGATAGATGCACGTATAAACTGATTGTATCATCTGCATATATATTCATTAATTGCCAGAGTATGTTCTGAAGCCGATCCTTAACCCTTTGAGCCCTGACCACCGCTTTACTGGTGGTAGAGAAAAATGGCGTAATGCCCAGCTACTGATTGAACAGCGGTAGAGAATGATGACATAATGCCTAGCTACCGGTTGTACGGTGGGTAAACTCTTGTAAATATTTATATATCTCCCATGAAACATTATATACCAATTATTTGCGAATTTTGAAACAAGAGCTCAGGCGAAGGGGTTAAAATTGTTCAGGAACGCCGGGCTCAAAGGGCTAATATAGAGCAGTATGATGATAGGATGGAGAAGATAACCTTTAGGAACGTCTGCATTGATCTCAAGGTCTTTTGATTATTGGACGTTTAACAACAATCTTCTGTTAGAAATTAGATAATTAAAGAATTCCTTCCAGAAATTTCATAGCTAGAGAGTTTATATAAAAGCAAGCCAATACCACATCAGGCCTTTGATATATTTAAGGCGATGGTCCTCGTGATTAATTTATGGTCTAGTGTCTCTCTGATTCAGGAAAAATATGGCACTTGCGTCTTCAAGAGTAAACTTAGCAGAATGCAATCCATACTGTTTATTACTCAGGATGATGTTTCTGTTGATTGGGGATTCCAAGAGTTTTTCTGATAACACTAAGAAGGGTAAACCGGATGAGAGTTTGCCCATTATTTAAAACAGGGAATATAGCTGACACCTAATATAAAATTGGGAAGTATTTATCCTTCAGGAAGCGGTAAAATTGTTTTGACAAGATTAGAAATAACTCTGGCCTGATCTGCTTACGAACAATCACTGATTTTTTATCGGAACCGGCTGCCTTCTTAGAGTCAAGGATTTTGATAAGTCTAGAAATTTCCCGTGTCGCGATATTACAAGATAAGAACCACCCCTTACCTGACGTCTTCTTCTCACATCGTTAGAAGGGGGAAGTCAAGTAAGGGTTGGTTCTTATCATATAATATATAGAAGTAGGGACAAAATTAAGACCTTTCCCTAGACTTAAGAAGATCTAATAACCTTCAAGGATATTTATAATAGTTTGCCTCTACTGGCAATTTTATTGGTGATTTTCCAAAACTTGCAAGAACCAAGTTTTCAACCATGGCTTGGATTTACTTTACATAGCTGTTCTTTATATTTTCTGGAAATTTCTAGCAATTATTGCAGGCAATAGTTATGACAAGAAGTGGTTTAAATTTAATAGCTTTATGGAAAAACATCCAATAATTAAAAGGATACCTTTTATATAGATAAAAACAAACAATAACGGTTAAGTGAATAAAATGTATTCAGTGCCTTACGTTAGTTTTCTGTGAAACTGTGTCTTGCATCATATAATGTAACACTTTTAAGAATTTCTGTCAAAATACTTTATTCATATGAAATCATCGCTTCATCATTCTGTCATGAATGCATTTTCTTTGATATTTTTACGATCATATTTCATCATTCGTCTTGTTTTTCCTTATAAAATAAAATTTATGTTTTGATTCAACGAATTCTTCAAAACATTGCAAAATGTTTTGAACTGTTGACATTTTTTTTTGCATATCTCCAGGGGAAGTTTCAAGGTCTGGAGATTCGGATCCATATGGCAGTTTTTTTTATGCAACCTCCCTGAATATTTGCAGCGTTGACTTTTCAGAAGACAGATGCTGCCATATTGCAAAATCTCAAATTGAAAAATTGCACATTAAAAGAAAATTTTCTCTTTCAATAAAGTCATTCAAAAGCATCACTTATTCACTATCGAGTTGTTTTGTAACGTTATATCTACTTTCCATTAATTCGGAATTTTAATTGGCATTTTTGGAATTTTTGCCTACGATAAAGGAGTGTCATAATGTTGTGGTAAACCCTCTTACAGTATAATGAACTCTTCCTTCTCTCATCAGTACAAATTGTGAGAGTCGGACGGGAGCGCAGAGTGTGAAGTGGAGTGGAGTAGTAGACGCAGTGCTAATCTACTTATTACTAACACTATTGTTTTGTATATATCTTCAATATACATTTTCAACCTACCTTTGTCTTCCATGTCTTTCTCTCGGGCCCCTAAACAGGCCACAAAACATAAGGACGTTTTTAAGCTTGACACCGCTGTTATTTTAACTACCTTCACCCCCTTGGAAATGTTTATTGTTTTAAAAAGCGATGCTTAGAATTATAATAAAACCCAAACATATAAAAGTGAATTTTTACATTTTCATAGTTCTTGAGAATTGATAACAAAAATGATAAAAACTATTTCTTTATTGGTTATTTATTGGAATTCTTGGCAAAATATCAGCCAATTACCAATTGATTGGAACTTTATAAAATGGTAAATAATAAGGATTTTCTTATACTTGGGTCATATATTTTAATAATTTAGTAAATTTGTATAAATTTATCAATAAAATCTTTTTCCTATTTATTTCCTTATAAATTGGTAAATGATAAATATTGCATTGTATTAGTTTTAATTGTATAAGTTTTTAGAATGTTGTAAATATAAAATTATTCAGTATCTGTCTATATTTCTGAGATGAGGTATTATGTACACTATTTACATTATTCGGAATATTGTCATCATCTTTGTTGCCATGTTTACCCAGGGCACATGGCACAGGGGATAAAGGCGTTGGTTAGATCCAATGACAGGACCCAAAGAGTGTGAGTTCAATACCTGGTTAAGGCAGTGGAGAACTTTCAGAAGGGAATTAACAGGAGATAACTGACATCCATCAAACATGGCACGTGGAACTAGAACAGTCTACCCCTGTGAGCAAAATAAAGGGTTCAGTTCGACATTCCAACCACCTTAAGAAGGCCGTAGCGTACAACGGACGAAACATTGTAATAAATATGGCGACAAAGATGAGGACAATAGTCCGAATAATGTAAATACTGTATAAATTTATTCATGAAATCTAATAAATTGTGTTTAATATTTTTTGTTGCAACCTCTCAAGAATAAAAAATATATAAATTCTTTTTCATCATATGTTTACGCTTTATTACAAAACTAATCATTTTAAAATAGTAAATATTGGCGAGGAGAGAAGGTAGTTAAAATAATATCAGTGTCAAGGGAAAAACCTTCCTTTTGATACATCGTATTTTTTGTGTGCACTAAAGTTGAAGATTGCTTTGTAGAAACTTCGATGATAATAATAAATTGCTTTTTAATTTGACTTTTCCTAATTTTATTTTCGCAATTTTTTTTTAAATCAAAAGACGCATGATACCCGTGTACATACGGGGTATCCATTTTTCACGTCCAATGCCTTTCATTTTACTGCGTCGAACATAAGAAAAGGATCGATAAATGTTTACACACAGACTGATGTTCTGTTTTGGTAATATCGACACCATTTAGTTAATTTCGGAATTTACTCTTAGTGTACGACTATTGACTAGCCAAGCAATAAAGAACTGAGTACGATTTTGATACAATTCTAAGATTTTCTAAGCACTGCGCAAAAATTGGAGTCAGAAAATTTTGTATTAACCAAGAATATGAACAGAAAGGGAAAAGCCTCTTCCTGTAATGTATGGAGTGACTTAAAATCAATTCACTTTCTCATATAAAATTTATCCTTGGTTGAGCTAACGTGATGCATTTGCAGATTGATATATTAATTTGATTTATTTATTATTATCATCGAAGTTTCTACAAAGCAATTCAATAATTTCCTCGAAATAATATTTACTTTCTGTTATTCGAATCGGGAGAAACAAACAATCCGATATTCGGCAAAATTCTCACATAAATAACGTGGAACTCTGAAAGACATGATCAAAATGAAACGATCTATAAAATTGGCAATACCGTTTTTATTTTACTGAATGATACCGAATAATTGGAATTGTCTATCAAGTTTCCTCATCTACGATTCGATTTTTGCTTCTATTTTTTTTATATACCGAGGCTAGGATATAGGGTTTAAAGAATCTTTTTCTCTGAACAAAAAAGCGAGCAGATTATTTTTAGCCTCATTATGAAGATTTTGTCGTTTTCCCCGATAAAATACTGAATCGAAAGCATTTAACGATATGTGTAGACTTCCTCACCTATCTGGAATTGATTTACATCTTCGATTACTGGACACCGCTAGATTTTTTGACTGTCAGAATGTCAAAGACGAACAGGATTAATGATTTTGTCCAATTAATAAGTAAGAATCAGTTCAGCATTGAATTATAGTATTGCCATATTTATTCGTGTAAAAGGAGTTACTATTAATTTCCGAAATAAAATCAGAAATTATCCGAGAACTGTATCGGAAGGAACTTTTTTTTGCGGAGTTGGGGAGCCAATTTTCAATACAACAAAGTTTACATATAGTTAATGTATAAAAAATATCTATCTATCTATCTATCTATCTATCTATCTATCTATCTATCTATCTATCTATCTCAGTCGATTCATATATTTCGTTCTTTCTTTCTTTCTTTCTTTTTCAGTCGATTCATTTTCTATCTATCTATCTATCTATCTATCTATCTATCTATCTATCTATCTCAGTTGATTCATATATTTCGTTCTTTCTTTCTCAGTCGATTCATTATCTATCTATCTATCTATCTATCTATCTATCTATCTATCTATCTATCTATCT